GCCCCAGAGGGAAAGGGGGTTCAGCTGCCCATCAGAGGCAGCCCCAGGCGACGTCCTGCCAGCCTCACCAAGCACTCACCATCATCAGCCGACAGCCCTGTCATTTCCCCGGCCACCAGGGCTTCTCCACGATCTTCCCGTGTGGCCTCTTACTTCTGGGACAGTGTCTGCCGTGGGGTGGCTGGGCCGGAGGTGGGGGGCATTAAATATTAACAGTGTCAGGTAATATTTACCCTGGTCACAAGAAAAACTGAGTGTGCTCAGAGGGGCTCCTGCTGAGCCAGGCAAGGGGAGGTGTGGGGGAGCCAGAGGCCGGACGAGCTGCCTGAGCTCTCCAGCCCCTCCCAGAGGAAATTTCCAGAGAGCAGGGCTGGGATGGGCAGCGACAGTATTCTTCCATCAGCTGAGGAAGCTGAAAGCTGGGCAATGGGATGAGGAAGTGGACGTTTCAAGAAGCACTCACTGTGAATGGCGCAGGGGAGGTGTGTGTAAGGGTACTGTGTCGGGTTGGGCACCTCCAAGTCCCTTAATCTTCAGAGCGTCCTGCCTCACCTTGTGGATGCACCATGAGAGCTACCATTCTCACAGGACACTCATGTCTCCCTGAGGGGTTCCTAAGGAGCCTGGCCCACCGCTCCTCCCACCATAGTCCTCTGAACCTTGGGTCCGCAGCAAGATCGGCCTCCATGGCACTGCTCTCTCTGACAGCCTGTCCTGACTTCGTTTATTTATCCAGATCCCGAAGCCACAAGTAACCAACCACTCACACATCAGTTTGAAATGCTCTGTTGGCCCTGACTAATGTCTTACCCTGATGCCTAACACTCCCTCTTGTGGCTGTCCACCATGTACTTTCAGGAAGAGGCCCAGGCTTGTGCTTAGGGCTTACAAAGCATTTTCTAATGCTTTGTAATGCATTAGAAAAGTCTCTCCCTTTTGCATTAGTTCCCCCACTTGACATGAGATATCTGAAGCAGAGGGAAGTTAGAGGCCTTACCCAAGGTCACGTTAGCAGTGAGAGGTGAGGACCAAATTTATGGCTGTCCTTTCAGATTCAGGGCTCATGTGTTTTGCTCATACTCCCCAGGCTGTCCCCCACTCACGGTGACTGTCCCCTTGAAAACTATGGTGTAGGTTCTGTGATCATTACTAGTCTTCTTTGGTTTCTGGGTCGTAGACTTGGCCTCCAAAAGGCTAATGTCCTACACTAGCAGGTGATATGTAGATACACAGATAATAGATATATAATAGCTGGTAGATACCTACATACACATAGACATTCAGGCTATATAGATGATAGCTAGATAGGTAATAGATTGATGGATACGTAGATAGATACATGTATGCATACATATATACACACCTACATGTATGTGTGTATACAGGCTACATAGATGATAGCTAGATGGATAATCGATTGATGGATGATAGTAAGATAGATAGATAGATAGATAGATAGATAGATAGATAGATAGATAATATTTATACCCCTGGTGCAGCTCAGTCCTTCTGAAGGGAAGGGCTCCATCTGTGAGTTCCTGTCAACCAATTCCAGGACACTGGCACTCACCACTTGCTAAGCATTTGACCTTTGCCAGTTTGCTTACCTCGCCATGCCTCTGTCTCTTCATCTATACAGTGGGTAGGGCACGGGACTCAGGGAAGTTGTGGGGACCGAGATAGGCATATTAGACTATGCCCAAGGACATCGGGTATCATTGTTTCTGTGTTGCTTGAAAAGTGACAGGAGTTATCCTTTTGTTTAATGGTATCATCAGAAAGCCACCCACTCTCTGCTAAGTAGGTGAGAGAAGAGGAGCAGTGCCCTGGCTTTGCAGCTTCGGAGCACTCACACAGCTCTCCTGAGCTTTCAGAGCCCAGTGGCATGCTTTTATAGAAGTAGACAGCGGCCCTGCCCTGGAAGCATATGCTAGGCTCTCAGCTCTCACCGCCCCCATTTAATCGCTGGTAGCTCCATTTGACAGACAAAGAAACTAAGGCTGAACATTTGCTTCCCCCAACAAGGTTGAGAGGGGTTTGTGCCATAGCCCTCCAGAAACCAGGAAAATTGAGAACCAACCAAACAAACAAACAAACAAACAAAAAAAAAAAAAACGTGAAGCCTGAAACACAGAAAGGGGAGAACCAGAGCTGGAATGCCCAGATCCCAAGATGGCTGCCGAATCTGTTGCCATTCTTCACAGAATTCAGCAGTAGCTCCCCCACACCCTACCCCTTATCATATTAGCTTGGTGACTATTTTTATAAGCCCCTATGAGTTCTTTCTGGAACAAGAGATATGAATAGGTAGAAAGCTAGAAAGATATATGACAGAGAGGCAGACAGAAGGATGGATGGAGGGAGGGACGGATGGATGGATGGATGGATGGATGGATGGATGGATAGATGGGCAGATATATAGGTAGACAGGTAGGTAAAGCAATGAGAAAAACAGGTTGACAACTACTCTTCTGTCCTAGGTTCTGGGAAAGTAACCCCTCCACCACCCGATTCAGTAAAAAGGGACAGGATTAGCATCATTCTGTCTTACTGAGGTACAGACGAGTGGCATTACCTGCCAGAGAGAGGGCAGCTAGAAAGTACTGGGACTAAGATGTCAATCAGTAGTCTGATGGATGGACACACAGCTGGATGAGGAGGCTGGTGAAGAGTCAGGTTCCCCAGCCTCTGGCTCAGAGGTGCCCTGCACAACACAGCAGGCCCAGGACTCAATTTTGAGGTGTCCTTATTAGGGCAGCCTGTCTCTCCCATTTCTGCTTCTCCCACAATTGTGGGGAGCCAGCAGGTGTGTTTGAAAGTGATGGATGGTCCCCTGAATCCAGGGCAGGGAAGGCCAGGCTTGGGAGACTCACCCAGGTACCACCTGTCCATGGCTGGAGCTGCTGGTATGCAGGAGGTGTGTGAGGTACACAGGAGCCAGGGAGTGCCTGCCCTTGCCTGGGGCCTGGATGGGAAGAGTGGCACTTCCTCCTTTCACACCACCAGAAGAGTTGAGCTGGGGCAGCAAGAAGGAGGCAGGAGGCGGGGCTGCCCAGAGGGAACCTTACCCTGCACCTGCCTGCCTGGGCTGGTTGGAGAAGGGAGCCATGTGAAAGTAGGGGGAGAGCCTCTGACCTCCACTGGCATCCAAGGAAGGGGACCCTCAGAGCGGCAGAGTAAAGGACAACATCCTCTCCTTTCTCCACAGGGACCTTGCTGCAGCAGCCGGTGGCCTGGATTGTGTTCTTTCTCTAAGAGGGTGGCTAGAAGGGCACTGGCCAGAGTGCAAGCTGGCAGTATCAGAGCCCTCACACTAGGCAGGAGAGCTGCTCCAGGTGCAGTGGGGACTTAGTCCCCGCTGGTCTTGGAACTGATGTAGCTGACTAGCCTCCTAAGCCATTCTGCTGGTGAGAGATGGGCAGTGACTGGAGCCACAGCTGAGCTGAGGATGCTCCCCTGGCAGCCCGTCCTTCCTCCCCACCAGAGCTCCTCCGTTAGCCCTGGGGACATGTCTCATTTGTGATGTCACACCCGCTTGGATGTCCCTGTGGGATCTCAACAAGAGTTCCGGCACATAATGAGGTCCTCTGAGAAGGGCTGAGCTTTCTGTCGGGAGCAGAATATCTTCTAGTCCCCAGGGCTGGGGTGGCACCAGGAGCCAAAAGAAGAATAACAGAATGGCCATGCAGTAGCTCCCAGGGTCATTGTGCCGTGGTCACCGTGAAAGGACAGAGCAAGGCCACTACAAGAAGTCTCTGTTGGCTGACTAAGACTGGACCACAGTGTCTCCTTTAGGCTCCCAAGATCATCCTGGTGTGGCCATCTTACTGGGCTACCAGCAGAGCATGGACAGTGCTGGCTCTGGTCACCCTGACAACTGGTCTCCTTGTCCCTCATAACAGTATCCTAAGAGGGGGACTAATGACACCCCAGGGAGATGGAAGCATCTGAAATGTTGGCCTGAACTCCTAGCTGGGTTAGGCTGAGGGCTGTCTTTCGGCTATAAGCTGGCAACACCCCCAGTTCCCACCCCAGCCACCAGAGAGGTAAAGGGCAACTCCACCCAGTGACCCTGTCACATGTTCCCAAGTGGAAACCTTAACCTTCAGATAGCCCGGAGCCCCGAGTGGAAATTCCCCAAGCCAGGTACTGAGGAAGTTCAGGCAGTACCCGTGGTCTCTGTAGACCTCAGCAGGACCCCAACCTCCCTGGGAGCCCACCTAAAGTTCTTTTACAACTTCAGCGCTGTGAAAGATGACATAAACTTTCCCAATAAATGCCCTGTGCTTCCAACCCCCCCCCCAAGACTTTCACATGTAAAACCATTCTCTTTCCTTCCCAAGATTCTCTGAATGCTGATTCTAAGCCAGGGTCTTGTGTGTGTGTGTGTGTGTGTGTCCCTTCACTTTGTAAATTTTCTTTTTGTTTGTTTGTTTATGTGTATGTGAGAGCCTGCATGTCTGGATACTGGAAGACAATCTGTGGGACCCAGGGATTGAACTCACATTGCCAGGCTTTGTGGCAAGTACCTTTATTTGCCCTCTCGCTGGCCCTTTTATGTGCCTTCTTAACCTTACCCTAGTGGCCTCCCGGACCCTGTCCCCAACTTTTCTGCTCATCTGTGCATTCCAACCATACTGCCTCCTTTAGTGGCCCTCGGACCTTCCAGGGCTCCCTCCTGCCTCAGGACCATAGCACAGATTAGTTTTTGAGTGCTCAGTCTCCAGAGTTCCCACAATTCTTGGGCTTCCCCTCAGGCTTCACTTAGAAACCCTCCTAGGTACCCTTTCTAAATTTCATGCTACCCGAGCCCAGAGAGGTGGCAGCATTTTGCCAGTGACTCAACCTCCAGGCTTGCCTAAGGCCGCCTCCTCTCCAGTCTGCCACCTCCATGCAGCAGGCACCTCGGCCTCATTTCTCTAGAAAAGCCCTGAGCACTTAGCACATTTGCCCCCTAACACCCCAAAGTGGCCTTCAGGCTCCTCCAACCACCCCCAGATGCCACACCAACGCACACACTGCCCCCCACACCTACACCCACCCCCACCCACACACCCACCCTCCAGCACAGGTGAACATGAAGAGTCGCTTAGACCCTTACTCACTAAGTCCTTCCTCAGACAGCTTCCCTGGCATATCCCAGCCAGCCAAGGCATCATCGGGGTTTAGCCAATTCTGGGGACAAGGAGTCTTCTCTGAGACATCCTGATCCCCTGCAAAAGGACCCTGGCTCCTGCTCCCCTGAGAGCAGCTGAAGAAATGACTCCTCTCATGTCTGTGTGCATCACAGACGGGGTGTAAATCCTCCTGTAAACTGAGCTTGCCCTTCTCCTGACTCAGGGGGCTGGAGAAGGATGCCCTTCTGCATCCTGCCATCTAAAATACATGGCAACACCTACCTCAGAGGCTTGATGTGGGAGGAGATCATCGGAAGAAGTGTTTGGCTGAAGGATCTTCCAACAGGGGTAGTACCGCTCTCTACCCTAAGCTAGGAGCCCCCACTGACTTCTCCTGAAGGGTCCCTGAAGGTTACCTCCTAGCCCAGTGCTGCAGCTGGGTCCCACCAGCCATCACCACCACTGGCCCGAAGCCTCCTGTCTTCCTAGGAAAAACACCGAACAGCATGCTCGCCCCATCAGTGTCTCGCCACCATTCTCCTTCTTGGAGTCTTCCCTGTAGCAGCAGGGCAGTGGCCATGAAGATGCTGCTCTCCTGATTCTTAAAAGAACGGGACAGGCCAAGAGCCTCCCGTTTTCTTCTCTCTTGGGTTTCTCTAGATCCCAGAAGGATATCTAGCTGTATCCTCCTGTTGTCTAGGACCCAGAGACCAATTCAGTCTTTGGGAGTTAGTGGGATGGATCCCTCTTTCATCCTTGTCACACCCACAGGGACAGGGACAGGGGCCTCATCGGTTATGCGTTATTCTCCCTGGCCTTCGGGCAGGTCTGTCTTAAGACTCAGGGTAGCCATGTGGACAATTCCCATTGCATTTGTGAGTAGGGGAGTCACAAGTTGGGACATCCAGCTGATCCTTGTCTCCCTAACACCCGCAGGAAGCCCCAGAGTGGACGTCCTCACCATGAGCCTTCCTGCAACAGGACTCTCCAGCCCAGCAGCCCAGGGCTTTGTGAGGTTTCCTGACAATCCATAGCATTGCATTTCAGGCCCCAGCACCATTTCCTCCACGTGGTGTTGATTCGCATCTCAAAGGAGCTTGAAAGGGGCAGAAATCCAAATCCATGAGAAAGCCCCGACCCTGAGCTCAGGCCCATTCTTCCAGGTATGGTCCCCAGGGACACTGGGCAGGGAAGGTGGCTGTTCCTTGTAAGCCCCATCTGTTCTGGCTAGAGGTCCTAAGCCCTTAGGAATGCCAGCTCCTGTCTCTTGCTGTGACCACAAGAGCCTGGTCACTGGGGTCTTATAAAGCAAGAGCTTGGAGGAGGTGGGCCCCATAGAATCCAGTCCTTAGGTGTTGGCTTCAAGATGGCTGGAGCAGTGGGGCACAGAGGTCCTGGGAGTTGCCAAAGGGCAATGTACACTGAGATTCAAGGTCACCATGTTATGGCAAGAACAAACCATTAGTCCAGCCTCCTACACAGAGAACACCCTGGAGAGAAATGCATTCTTGATTTTCTCAGAACTCACACCTGGCCTTGACCCGGAGCTAAGGTGTTTCTAAGCGGTTCCTTGTGTCCACTGCTTTTAGAGAACCTCAGGCAGCAAGCCATACTTTTTTCTCAACAGCCTCTGGAGTCCTGCGATGGACTCTTGTGGCTTTCATGTGGCCTGTGACCATCGTGCCCTGGCCTATGGACATACACGGATCACCGCATTCACTCACAATTGTGTCCTCAGTCACTGAGATGCAATCCAGCTCTCCCTACCCGGCAAGGACTCCACCTCTTTCATGGTTCTGGAGAGTTCCAAAGATCTGCTTTGCTTTTCCTGACATCACAGCCAGGCAGGATTTGGTACCACTCTTTCACAAAGAGCAGGGACTGCAGGTAATGGCGTGCAAGTCAGGACTGGAATTCAAGTCTAAGTGATAGCTAGGCACCCTCGCTGTCAATGAGGACGCAGTCCTTAAATAGTCAGTACTGGCAACACCATGTCTTCCTGTAGGAATTTCAGGGTTTTTAAAAATAATATACCGTGTAAAATACAGTGTATACACTGTATAGTATGGTCTGTAGGATAGTCTATAGTCTAGAGGATACTCTGGCTTCGGTGGCTTTCCCAGGGTCACACCGCTGGCAGGAGGCCTAACCCAACAAGAGGGAAAGTGACAGAGAGATGGGGCTGAAGGTCACACAATTGGATAGAAGAGAGGCCCAGGCTCTGAGAACCTCTTCAGAAAGGATCCCTCATCCTGCCTAATATCCCGAGTCCTTTAGGACATTAATGACAGCATTGCCCCTTGGCTGGCACCTCTTGTTGCTCAAGCCCAAGGAACTGGCATTGGCTCCAGAAAATCAACAGGTGGTTGGCTTGAACCGGTTGGTTCTGCCAGCCAGGAGCTTAGGGGTGACAGCAATGAATCACACAAATGGCAATAGGTGACCATTCCCTCCTCTTTATGGCCTGAAGACAGGCATTTTCAAAGCTCCTCCCCTGGCTTGGGCAAACACAGCTGACCTTTCTCGCTCTCCCTGGGCCTCTGTGGGGGAGAGTGCAGAGCAGCCAGGGACAAGGTGAGAACCAGACTGAGCTGGGGAATTCTCACCTGCCAGTCCTCCATCCTTTGGAGGGCAGAGCCCTGCCTCCCAGAAGGGGGAGGGGGCAGAGCCCCTTGACCTTGGGATGTGCTTCAGCTTGGCACCCCTTCCCACCTCTGCTGCCAGCATTCAGTTTTGCTGTCTCTGATCTCTTCCAAGAATAGTCTGGCCAGTTCTGACCTACAGCCTGTAAGAAAAAAGTGAACAAACAAAACATCAGAGAGGTCGAGGGCCGCAGCAGCTCGACCCAGGCACAGATTAGTGACGTGAGGAATGACCAGCAGCAATTTTCAAAGAGGTTTGAACACCTCTGGGAGTTAAATTCATGTGAAATGGAGAATTCCGAGAGGTCAAATTTGCAGAACACTCAAGGTCACCGAGAACAAGGGACTCACTGTCCCTTGTAGCATAGTAGCTTTCTCATCCAACCAAGTAAAGTTGCCACATTAAACCAAATCACAGGGCCTGGGGATGGAGCTCAATCATCAAAGAGCTCATGCAGTTTTCACAAACACCGAAGCACCCCTAAAAACCAGCTATGGTTGTGCACATCTGTAACCCCAACTCAGGAGATGGAGGCAGGAAGACCAGAAGTTAAGCAGGTCGTCCCTGTCTCCATGTTTTGTTTTTTTAGTTTGAGACCAGAGTGGGCTATTTGACCCTGTCTCAAAGGAAAAACAAAAACCAAACAGATCAAAAGCAGAAAGGAGTGTCAGGTACCAGGGGCTGAGTTGCTGGCACTGCCCCACCCTCACGAGACTGCTGATGTGAGTGTGGGAGGCAAACCACGGGGACCCTGCATCTGGCAAGAACGTGGTAGGTATCTTTCTGCACGGTTGCGATGCTCAGGCTTTCCATCTCTGGGTCTTTCCACATAACTGGCCTCCCGTAGGTGCTTCCTCGAAGCACAGCCCGGAGTGCATGGTAGCTAGGTCACATCCTGAAAGGGCAGAGAGCAGACAAGGTTCCAGGAGGGTTGACATCCTCCCCATTATCTAAAAAGGCTTTCCCAAGCCCCCAGCTGTGTGGTGCGCACATGGCCCTGGAATCACTGCCTGCCTCGAGGGGCATCAGAGAGAATCTGTAAAATAAGACTGTCCTGCTATGTCAGGATAAAGCCAGCCTCCCAGACACACTAAGCAATGCTTCTAGGCCCCTTGTAAAGCCGTATTCACCATGTTAGACACATAGTAAAATAACAGGTACTCTCTCTTTTTGGTGTAATGAAAGAAAGGTCAGAACCTCTCACAAGACTTCTTTAGAGTTTTGGTTTTAGCAATGCCTGGCACAGTACCCACAATCCTTTGCATGCCTGAGGCCTCTCAGGACCTCAGTCACCTACAAGGCATAAACTCCCTGATACATGAGTATGCCGTGAACAGAGCTCATCTGCTTTATTTCCAAGACCCCACGTGACCACAGATATTTTTTTTTTGTGGTCATTTAATAAATGATCCCCTGTCATCCCTGGCTTGACAATGTTACACTTGACCCCTGCTGTAAGACTTCATCTTTTCAGAGCCAGAGGGGCAAAACATACTAAGGGTACAGGTAATAGCAGGTGTGGGAAATACGCCAAGCAGGCCTTGGATAACTAGAAACTGGATCCTACCCACTCTCTCAGACATGCGAGGTACCGTTGTCTAGAAGCAACCCAAAATCTTCACAGGGGGCTATCGAAGTTCTCGAGACCCTAAGATGCCCTGAGAATCCTCAAGTTAGAACAAGGCTTCTTCCTCACTCTATAGGAGTTGTGTCTCACCCAAGACACAAGAGAAGGCTGTGTCTTCACACACAGGAGAAGGCCTTCACACACAGAAGGCTGGAGACAGGGCAATGCACAGGGGTGGGTTTTCTGTCTTCAAGTGGAATCTGCCTGCAGCTGTTTGGCCAACAGTACTTTAAAAAAAAATGGGAATGCCTTTGGGAGGCCTCCAAGTTCCCATCTACATGAGTGTCACAGTGTCATTAATTTTTTTTAAAAGATTTGTTTTTTATTTATTTACCACATATACAGTGTTCTGCCTGCACACCAGCAGAGGGCACCAGATCCCATTCTAGATGGTTGTGAGCCACCATGTGGTCACTGGGAATTGAACTCAGGACCTCTGGAAGAGCACCTAGTGCTCCTAATCTCTAAGCCATCTCTCCAGCCTGTCATTAATCTTCTACCGACTCCTTTCTAACTTAACCTGTCCTGCTGTGAGGAGGGACCTGTAGGAAAGGAGCAAAGGAAGGAGAGAAAGGGAGAAGGGGAGAGGAGGTCCAAAGTCAGGTCTAGAAACCCCTGTGAAAGAAGCCTAAACTCCCTGGCACCTCCCTAGCATCCTTCAGTCTTGATCTCCTCCCTCTGACCTGGGATGGACATGCTTGTCCTTTAAGTTCCCAGGAGACTTACAAACACTCAGATTCTCAGAAGAAGAAAAACTACTCAGAGCCACTAGGAAACAATGTTTTATTTATTTATTAATTTTTCTGTTGTCAGATAGATCACAAGACAGAGATCAGCAGTCCCGGTACACAGTGTGACTTGGTTAGTTTCCAAGGGAACACAATGGACAGGTGGGGCAGGGTCTGGTTTGAGTTTCTACTCCCATGACCTTTGATTTCTGGCGTTTGCTCAGCATTTGGGCTGTGCATACCCGGGTGCTCCTCTGACCCAAAGCCCTGCTCCTGCATCTTGCCATCGCTCTCCACTTTCACCCGACAGGCAGGGAAAGGAAACTGCAAAGGCTGCCGGACCCACCCCAATCCAACCTCTCTGAGGCATCCCCTGGGCTGCCAGAGACCCACTTCAGGTCAGATGAATTGGACTGGAGATCGAAGTCTCAAAAGCAGGGAAGGTGGGCAAAGGCAGGGGCATTCCAGAGCCTATGGGTCTATTGCTCAGAAGGTATGTGAGGAGCACAGTTCCCCAGAGGCAAGAAGCCCTGGACCTGGAATTCCTGGGCACTCCGCAAAGGGTAGGGCAGATTGGTTCTCTGAAGTGGACACCCTGAAAGGAAAATGACCTCAGGAGGGCAGACAGAGCCTGCAGGAAGGCAATCCTCCAAATCTCCAGCTGCTAACAGACCTTCTAAATTGGTTGGAGTCTGGAGCAAGTTTCTTCGGAGAGTCCCGGAAGAAGCTCAGTTTAGATTATACAAAGTTTCTTTGTCCTAAAACAGCCTGGGGCTCCTGCTCTGGGAACAACTCTCCCTCCAGCCTAAATCCAGACATGGGGCTAGGGCTCCTCATAGGCAGAACAGACTGCAGAGAGCAAGAGGGGATGGAGGCCACAGGAGACGGTCACAAGGCGCTGAGGGCAAAATGGCCAAGCCCCTCAGGAAAGGGAGCACACAGTTTACCGGAACAATGAAATCCACGAATGAGTAGCCACAGACCACAGTCATCAGACACACACAGACACAGCACAGAAAGGGGCCAGACCCCGGCTGCAGTGAGAAAGGAAGGGCTGTGAGCGTTGCATCAAGTACAGGACTGGGGTTAGTGGGGACAGAGAGAGGCACGGGGAACTCATGTTCTTGGCTTCTCCTAGGGAAAGGTCTGGCATGAAGTAGCCGGTTTTCTCAAGCCTTGACGTCAGCCTCGAAAGTGTCAGGCAGCTGGCCTTGGCTTCTGGAGGCTGTGAGGCGGAGAATTCACATTAAGACCCTAGATCCTTTCTACTGCCCATACTCGGTCCTGTCTCCAACTTCAGCACAGCCCCTTTGTCCAAAAAATAAAAAAAAAATAATAATAATAAAATAAAAAAAATCCCCAGATGGCATGCCCTTGAAGCCCTAAGGTCCAGTGAAGAGCAGACAAGCCTGAGAGGAAGGGAAGGCAGAGGAGTATGAAGGGGGGCAGCCTCGTGGGCTGGAGTTGTTGACTGACCCCTGCTTAAGTGGTCGCTTATCTTTAAGATATCACCCCAAAGATGGGAGCAGTGAGTGAGCCCTGCTCTGCTGCCAGGGCTGTCATGTGGAGATGCAGGCACTACAAGGAATTAAAACTCTGCACAGGTACATGGTGGTCCTGCCTTTCTGGCAAAGACTAGTGTCCATGACATAGACAGTTTTTTGTTTGTTGTCGTTTTGAAGCAGGGTCCATGTGGCCTAGGCTGACCTCAAACTCACTATTGGCCAGGGTTGACCCTGAACTTCTGATCTTCCTCCTACCTTTATCCATCCCCATGGGCTAGGTTTACAGGTATGCACTAGCTTGAGGAAGCCTTTAATTTACAACTTAAACTAGAGTTGTGCCTTATTGTATGTTATGCCTTATTGTATGGAATCTAGGGCAGAAGTGAGGTGACAAACAGGCTTTTTTGCCTTTATATACCCCAGGGTCTGCCATCCAGGACACAATTGAGTAGGTATTCTGAGTGACCCTAGCCACAGAAACCTGGATTCAGGGCCCAGCTTGTCACTTACTATCTGTGCTGGGTAGGTGTGTGTCAACTCGACACAGCTACAGTCATTGGACGGGAGGGAACCTCAATTGAGAAAATGCCTCCGTAAGATCAGGCTGTAGGCAAGCCTGTAGAGCATTTTCTTAATTAGTGATTGATGGGGGAGGGCCCAGCCCATTGTGGGTGATGCCACCCCAGACTGGTGGTTCTGGGTTCTATTTTCTTAGGCTGAACAAGATATAAGGAGCAGGCCTTTAAGCAGCACCCCTCCATGCCCTCTGCATCAGCTCCTGCCTCCAGGTTCCTGCCCTGCTTGAGTTCCTGGCCTGACTTCCTTCAGTGTGGGAAGCTTATACCAAAAAAACGTTTGCTCCCCAATTTGATTTGGCCATGTGGGTTCATCACAGCAATACTAACCCTAACCAAGACACTATCTGAATGGCTTTCTCTGACTGGAGTTTTTTTGTTTTTTTTTTCCATTATAAATGAGGCCAGCCCTGCATGTCCTATTTCTCCTGGTAGGCTCCAGAAGGTTCCTATACGGCCTGCTGACTGGAAGGTTTATCCAATCACTATGTACTCTCGGGCACACCCTACAATAAGCAATGGAAATGAACACACAGCAGGCCCCAAATGTTGAGGGCAGTGCAGGTATAAGGAAGGGGAGGGGCCCATATTATTTTCCGTACTTTAGAGTATTATTGGAAAGTTTAATGATGTGTGTGTGTGTATGTGTGTGTTTGTGTGTGTTTAAGCGGTTTTCAGGCTCATTGTTGGTAGCCATTCCCAATGTTACTTTAAGAGGGAAGTGTTTCACTAACTAAACGATTCCTACCCAAGCCATGTCCCTCTGGTAGCTGGGAAAATACCGTATGAGTCTGACCCCAAGGCTGGTTGGAAGTCCTGATTCCCCATGCCTGTGTTGAGGTAAGAGACAGTCTCTGGGACAGAGATGTCCACGGTTCCTCCCCCACCTCTGAGAGACACCTAAGAGTGGGCTGGTAAGAAAAGCTGGGTGCCATGAAGAAGCGGGCATGAGGCCCCTGCCCAGACCCAACGAGGACAGTGGGGGACAGAGCACGGAGCATCTACCTTCCTGCTGGAGGCCGCACCTCAGTTCTCTGCCTTCTGGGGCTCCGTAGCTGGAAGAGAAAGCAGATTGATGTACTGTGAAGCTCCTCCCCCAGGGGTGCTCTCTGCTGAGCCCTCGCTTACGCCTGACACTAGGATTTGGGGTCACAAAGATGTGGGTGCCAGTCCTTGCACCTTGATGTCTGCTGCTTACAAGACCTTGGACCTAGGTCCTTGAATATGGTAATGGTGGCTACCTCACGGGGCTTAGCACACATGTAAAGATGGAGTGTGCCTGGTACAAAGTAGGTGCTCTGGCTACAGTGACTATCTCCTGCCTGGTATGGATGAAGTGCGAATGTCAAAGAGGTCCTAGAGAGCCCTCTCCTGGCACTTCAGAGGCCTCTGAGGTTCACCTCTGCTGAACCCCAAAGCAGCTCGTGGCACCTAGTCCAGTCCCTCCCCGAACCATGGGAAGACCCTCTCATAGAACCCTGTCATGGTAGTTACCATTTGTAGTGATGAGGTTCTCCACCTGGGCCTCTTCATCCCCTGGAGCCCTATGACAAGAGGAGACACATCGTTACAGACGTACAGGGGGAAACCACAGATTATCCCCATTCTCTTCACTGAAGCAGGGCCCCTGGAGCTCATCCCCTCCCCCTCCCCCCGCCTCATTCAGACACTCTACCATGGGACACGTGGGGTGAACAGAGTAGCCGGGAGGGGCAGAGAGAACCCATGGGTACCCTTCTGTGTCTGCCCCTAGGTGGGGTTTGGGCATAGCTGCCACAGACTCTGACTTCTGAGGTCCATGGCCACCATGGCTGTTCTAATGAAAGGGGTGTAACTTATACGGTGCCCACTACGCAGTACACAGAGCCTCAGGAAGGCGAGACACAGCGACAGCGTCTCTGCCCCGCAACACCCTTCTCTACTTCCCCCCAGCAAGCCTTGCTGGCTCAAGGACCTCCAGACAAGGTCCCAGCACATTCCTGCTCAGTATTCTTTACCCTATTTACGTGTTTTGACCTCTCCTTTGTTCCAAGGTCATTGTACATTGGTGTTCTGTCTGCTTGTATGTGTGTGTGTGTGTGTGTGTGAGGGAGGGGGCCGGATCTCCTGCAACAGGAGTTACAGACCGTTATGAGCGGCTACGTGAGTGCTGGGAAATGATCGTGGGTCCTATAAGCCAGTCACCTCTGAGCCATCTCTCTAGCCCTCCAATGTTCTCCCATGAGACCAAAGAGCACCCATTGGGTTTGCTCCACAGGCCTCTCCCTGTCCCAACAACCCTGTCACTCTTACCTGGGCTTCTGATTGAAACTACACTTGCACCTGCGACCTGAAACACAAAGAAACCATCCAAGATCATGCTCCCAGCAGCAGCTCAAGGTCAGGCTCCTGGCCGGGACACAGAAGATCTACCGTGAGTCTGTACAGGACAAAGGCACTGCCAAACACAAGCAATGGAAGCCTGCACTGCTGCCCAAAGCAACGGGGGGGTCAACTGAGGCCCCGTGCCAGGGTTTAAGTGGCAAGTGGGTGCTGTTTGTGGGAGGGGCAATCTTTGGGAGGCGGGGCCAAGCCAATCAAAGTGGGTTGTTGGAGGTGGTAGCCGCTTCTGACTATATCCTCAGCTCTCTGCTTCCTGGTCCATCTTAATGTGAATAAGCCACACAAGTCTGCCACGCCACGCCTTCCCGCTGTGATAGAATTTGCCCTTTCATACCGTGAGCAAAACTAATGATGGTAGTGCACTCAACACCACGGCTCACACAGGGGAAACACATAAGGACACATTCCCAGGATCATGGCGAGCACAGCACCTGTCTTCCGGGATGGCTAAGCCCATGCCCTAAGGATGAAGCCCGCTCGTTTTTACTTATGGCTGTTCCTACCTACATTCTCTGAGCTCACCTTCCTTGTTTAATTGAGCACTTACTATATGCCCAGCCCTGTATTAGTCCTGGAGGTAGCATGGAGAGGCAGACTGTGCCTTCCCCTTTCCCACAGACAAGATGGCTAGGCTCATCTACTACTCCCCAGCAGCCATAGATAAAAAGGGACAAACATACTTAGGATGAGGAGTATCCCAACGGAGAAGAGGACCACAGCGAACACCAAGCCCCCAATCCTCAGAGTCTGGTAGTCTGCAAAAGAACCAGGGATGAGAGGTGGGAGATGGGAGGGGCAGGGAGAACATACCTGTCCCTCCCGGATGGGGCCACCCCAGGGCTGCAGAGTTCACTCACCGTAATAGAAAGGGTCGTTTTCTTTCTCCTTCTCAGCTGCTGGGAAAGTAGACAGACACGGTCAAGAGGAAGGCAGCCATGTTTCCTGAGACTTCTCTCCTGCCCCACAGCTCCTAGTCCCCACAAAAGGATCCTTGTGAAGCTGGCTACTGGGCAGAGACACTGGAGATCATGGAAAATAGGCTTGGCAGGCTTGGACGCCCAGGGTCTGAGGCAGGTATGACTCAGAACCTCAGTGAGGTCCCCAGCTCACAGCACACCTTTCATCACTCCAAAAGGCCAGGCCTGCCTGTCATCTACTGACAAACAGGGAAGCCGAGATGGGGTGGGGGTTCGGGGGGAGCATTTCATATATCTATGAACTGGCATATATAGTCAGGGTGGGTTAATTACAGTCCAGGCTGTAATTCCACAGGAGCCCGAGGTGTCTGGAGGGATTAACAGGCCAGTTGGTCCTTGTGGGGAACACCTGGATTAGGCTCTGTCTTTCTATGCTGCAAAGGTAGGAGCCCCTGACCAGATGGGAAGTTGCCTAAGATCCCTTTACCCTAAAGTCTAAAAGGACCAGAACCTTCTACCAGAAAGGGCTGCGGCTGCAGCTCGGCACAGGTAGGCCCTACAGGACTCTTACCACTAGCCAGCACTGCAGGGGCCAGCAGGCTGCAGAGGATCAGCACCGTCTCCATGGCGCCTGGGGATAAAGAAGGAAGAGACGACTCTAAGGACAGAAGACCTTCCTCCATAAGCCATCACCTGTGATGGGGGCTCAGCCCAACCTCGGCTGTACCGGAAGCATGTGTGACCTGAGGCCACTTCAAATCACCAGGACCAATGCCACCTTATCAGACTCTCAGAGATCTGTGTGGTCAATTCTATTAACCAAGATGAGTCAGAACACTTAGCCGGCTCTATGACTCGTGCAGGCTGCAGGCCTGGAACCAGAAGCTCGCCGAGAGTAAACGCTCTTCATAGAGGGAGAGGCAGGGCCAAGGTCATACAATAGCTCAGTAACTCATTAGGGTGAGGCTTTTAGGCCAAAGCCTTAACACCTTAACATCCCAAGGGCTTTGGAGATGTCTCTCCAGTGCCCTCTTTCCAGGCTATCTCTGACTCATTAAGATGCGGGGACCCCGGACAAGCTCTCACAGCCAACAGCCTACCAAGAAGTGTTTTTGAAAGGATTTATGTTGTGTGTGTGTGTGTGTGTGTGTGTGTGTGTGTGTTTGCACGCGCTATGCATGTATGGCATATGTGTGCAGATGTCCATGGAGCCTAGAAGATCCAGAGCAATGTATCTCCTGGAGTTACAGGTGGGCGTGAGCTGCCTGATGTGGGTGCTGGGAACTAACCTTGGGTCCTCTGGAAGAGCAGTAAGTGTAGGGGAGTGTTTATATCAGCTCCTTAGTCCAGTCAGTGGATGGCAGCCTCTCTCTGTTCCCCTTGATACCTTTGTATGACCACAAGTTGCCTTTCATACGGTTTCCTCAGCTTCCTGGATGACCAGAGGCCCAGGTCATCATCTCCCAAAATGTGACGGTTGCATAAAGGGAAGCAGGACAAAGGTCTCTGAGCATCAGCTCCCAGTCTCTCTTCCCCCTTAAAACGATGAGCGCTCTGCTTGGATCACACTGAATCCTGGTGATGGCGCGGGGGGGGGGGGGGGGGGGGGGGGGGGGGGGGGGCGGACCTGGATGGGTCACATGCGCAGAGCCAGGGAACATGTATCAGTGTAGTTACACTCACAGAGTCAGAATAGGGTACAGCACAAGGAGGAAGAACTCAAATCCAGAGCAGCCAACGCTGCTTAATCTTTTCCATGTAGGGTAAGCCGGGACACTGCCCGAAACCTATGTCTTGAATAGCCAGGCCCCACACTCATCCTAACAAGCAGCTCTGCTGCTATTCTGCAGTCAGACACCAGGGGGCAGCATAGCTGTACCCAGAACCATGCCCAGCCAGAGAGCTCTGTCAAGAGAAATTGACAGCTGTACGAACATACACCTTGCTCCTCTTAAAACTGTGCTTGATACATATATCCAATAACATTGCCTAGTGTGAGTTTGTGCATGTGTAAATGTTTGGGTGTCTGAGCAGGTGCATGTCCTTGCTTGAGCAACCAAGAGGTCAATGTCAGATGTCTTCCTGAACCATTCTGCACCTTATCTTTTGAGAGAGGGACTCTCGCTGAGCCTAGAGCTGACACCAGGCTGATTCCGGGAAGCTGGCTGGCCAGCAAACCCCAGCCATCATCCTAACTCCCCACCTTCTCAGTACTGCGACTGCAGCTGAGTGCCAGTCCACATGTTTTGTTGTTGTTCTGTTTTGTTTTTGACTTAAGTTCTGGGGATCAAATTCAGTTCCTCACGTTTGAGAGGCAGATGCCTCACTGACTGAGCCATCTCCCTAGTCCCCAGCACAGCTTTCTTTTTTACCTTTATGGTTATGATACAGTATTTGCAGTCTCCAGACACTTGCTTTGATCAACACTGTTCTGAAGATTTGTCTATACTATTACACAGAACTGTAGCTATTTCATGGTTAACGTGTGGTATTTCGTTGTGAAGGAAAACTGTTGTGTAGTGATCCCTTCTCCTGTTGATGGGCATCTGGTATCTTTGGAAATACACGGCTAAATGATACAGTTTTGAACACTTATGTGCACACTGCCAAGGGCACGTGTGATTGAGAGGTTTTTCACAATTCTGAGCACCCAGTCTCAAAAGGAACACTATACATTGCAGATCAGTGGGAACATGCGTTTGCGGATACTAGAAAACACGACCACCGAACAATCCTTACTCTGAAAGGCGTACTCCACCACTTAGCTCCCTTTTAAAAGGAATATGACTATGCCCCTGGACAGGCCTTCCATCGCAGCCTGGAAATGATGACCGAGGGTGAGCATGGCTCTGAACTCACTGCTTGGGAACAGACGGTCACTGCTCCACAGTGTTAATCATCTTCCAGAGGTCATTCCCACTTTAACATCCCACCAGCATGATGTGATTTATCTGTTACTCCCCGTCCTAACCACTACTTGACATTATCAGATGTCATAATTTTTGTCCATCTAGAGGCATAAAATGTGGCGTTATTCTGGTCACTTAGCTTTGGGGGTTCGCCATTTCCATTTCTATAGTGGTGACGGGACGTTCGTGTCTTTTTATAATTTTCAAATCATCTTCTCGACGTTGACATAAAACCTCAGTTACTGAGTATTGCAATATCTCCTCCCAATCCCTGACTTTTCTTTTTACTTAAGAGCTTTTTTTAATTTTGTGTGTAAGTGTACATGTGCGTATGTGTGTGTATTGTGTGGTGTGTGGAGATAAAACAACAACTTGCAGGGAGGTGGTTCTCTCCTACCAGTGCATCATGGGATAGGACTCCGTGGTCAGGCCTGGTGGTAGGCACCTCCATCTCCTGAGCCGTCTTCCTGGACCCGTCTTTACTTTTAAAAAAACTGCCCTACAATACACAGAATCTCTCAATTCTAAAATGACTGTGAGTGTCTCACTTAAGACATTTCTTCACACTGTCAGGTCATCTACTGGTCTTAAATACAGCAGTCTTAAGCTCTCTCATTTCTAATAATTTACCCATTTGCCTTTGGGTTTTCTCTGTAGACAGACTGTAAATGAGAGAGTGGCGTTTTCTCCTCCTATTAGCACACAGGTCATTTCTGTTTCTTAGTGCGCTGATTGAGACTTACAGAGAAATGCAGTAGAGAAACCATGACCATATATTCATATGCACACACATGTACATACATGTCTACACATGAACACAAATTTGGTCTTATTAGTCATTCTAAATAGAGTTCCAGGGTTTTGAAATTTTTCCTCTAACACTGTGTTTCCAAGATGCTTGTTTTATATTAATTATGAATAAACAAGCGATATATACTTTCTGTCTTGCATTCATCCTATTTCTCTCTTCTAAGACTGTAGCTTAGACCGGGTTTGGTGGCATACACCCTTGATCCCAGCACTCAGGGAGGCAGAAGGAGGTGGATTGCTGTGAGTTAGAAGTCAGGCTGGTCTACAAATCGAGTCCAGGAAAGCCAAGGCTACACAGATAAACCCTGTCTCGAGAAAAGAAAGAGAGAGGCACAAAGACAGAGAAAGACTATGGCTTAGTACAGTGTGGGCATCTTTATTCTGTTCTAAAAATCATCAAACTGTTCATTCATATTTTCTGCTTCCTTGCTTTTCTATGCTACATGCTGGGAAATTGTTTCAGAATTACTTGTTCTCTCCCTTTAGCTGTGTTTAATCTGCTGTTTCACTCATGCACTTAATTTCCTATTTCACTGATTATAACATTTTTATATGTTCTAGCTGGTTCTTTTCTAACAGCTTGGTCATTTCATTAGTCTTTCTTGTCCACTCATTTTTAGGATCCCATTGCTTTCTTTCAACATTTTCTTCACAGTTACTTTATTTTTTTGTGTCTGCTAATTTCAAAATCCTGACTTCTTGGGAGCATAAATTGATTTGTGGTTTCTGTGATTTTTAAATGGTGATTTGGCTTTTCTTGGTTCCCTTCCAATACACACACACACACACACACACACACACACACACACACAGATATACACATACAGACATCCACACAAACACACACACATACTACCTTGCTTAAGTAGTCTTTGATTTGTAAGCTCAAATTTGCTATATCTTAATCTGTGGGGAATTCTGAGGTCTTGTTTTCCTTTTTCCATGGAGACCTAGAGTGTCTGATACCAACCTGAAACCAGATCAGGCCCCTCCAGGGGACTAATGAAGAAGTCATGGGTTCGGTTCTGAACTCTGTTTGGTTCAACGCTTACTGGTCTCCAGAAGGCAGAGATGTAACTGGCATTCACTTTCAGCAGCTCTGTTTCAATTTAGTTCACACTTTACATAATTGTGCTACTTTGATTCCATAGGATTTTAGTTGGAAGATTTATTTTGGTTTTGGAGTTTTAGATGGTGTTTGGTATGGAGAGAAAAGCGACTGGTAATGGTATCTTTCTTCCTTCGTGTGGGGCAAGGGTAGAAGTGACATTAAAAGCCATCAAACGAGGCTCATGCTCATGCGTACAATCCCAGCACTCAAGGACTGCCATGAGTTCTAGGCCAGCCCAGGCTAGAGAGACCCTGCCTCATAAGTAAAATCACATTAAACCAACTCTTAGGGACCTTCGTATGAACACCAGATCCTACATGCCAGGAGAAGGATGGCCGGTCTAGGCTTCTCAACCCACAGCAGAACAATTACTGGGCAGGTAGAGCCCCTCCTGGAGAAGAAAAGACTTGTCCATGCCAAGGGCTCCAGACTACAAGGTGTAGCGAACATCCCCTTAGATGACTGCTGTGCCTCTCTGATAGCCTATTACTTCCACAGACGCTCAGCTCAGGGGAATTCCACGAACACTGAAATCCATGAGAGGGACGTGAATTCTAGATCTGCAGGGGACAAACAGTGACCAAGATCTGGCTTCGGCTACCAAGGAGGCATGGGTTCTGAGAGCAAAGACCCTGCTATTATCAGTAAGGACAGTACAACAGGGGACCTGAAAGTACCCAAGGAGGAGTTGGCATTTCAGCCAAACCTTGAGAGCAGGATGGGATCTTGAAAGACAAGGTTGGGAGAGAGAGGAAAATGAGAAAGGACAGTGAAAGGGAGCAATGGAGAGCGGGGACAGCA